GGAGTGGGGCTGGCCAGGAGGGGGAGAACCAGCCAGTGGGGCTGGCCTGGACACACACCGATCCCGGGGTGCTGCCCATCCCATGCGCGGTCCCGGTAGGGCACACGGGCGAGTCCGGCCTTGGGGATTCCATCCCACCCCGGCCCTGGCCCCATTTCCCTCCTTTCTATGATGTAGTTGCATATTGCCTGGCTGATACAAGCTCACGCAGTGTGAGCATGTCTACCAGCCAGGCAGTACGCAACTGTGTACTGATACTCATGATAATAATAAAACTTACTTAATTAGAAAATACCGGACATTTATATGTCCAGTATTTTCTCAATTTGTTTCCCGGACAAAAAGCTCAAATACCGGACTGTCCAGTTCAAAACCGGACACCTGGCAACCCTAGCCTTCTCTCACTACAGCAGCTTGGGGCCAGGTGAGTCGCACCTGTCCATGGCTGCTGCAGCTATAGCGGGCACAGCTGCCGGAGCGGTGCATGTCCCTATGTCTGGGGACAGACAGACATACAAACTCTATGAAATATATAGCAGATAGCTTTCCCTTTCTCCACCCATGCTGTTCCATTGGGGTTATAGCTGTCTCTGTCCCTTTGCTCCCCTCTATGGTCATTGTACAGTATAACTGTCCTTGCTAGTGGACCCTTCCCTTTCAGTTTTATGAGAAACAATCTGATTCCACACACATTCCATTCTCCTGGTACAACCCTGACCTTGTTTTAAGTTACGAGAAGAGGAAGCTGCATACCAAATGTGGTTGTCATAGCTCTTAGTGTTTAGGAAAAATTCTTGAACAGAAATGTATGTGTATATTGAGACACACAAAATGTCTCATATATAAAACTGTAAGTCAACCTCTGCTGTGACTCCTTGCAGTGAGATATGAGAGATTTTTCTCATGCTGCTGTCTTCGTCCTCCAAACACGTTCCTCGCGGTCATGGCATTGGAGCCAGACTAAGAGGCTACGTCTACACTGGCCCTTTTTCCGGAAGGGGCATGTAAATTTCACTAGTCGTCGTAGGGAAATCCGCGGGGGATTTAAATATCCCCCGCGGCATTTAAATAAAAATGTCCGCCGCTTTTTTCCGGCTTTTAAAAAAGCCGGAAAAGAGCGTCTAGACTGGCCCCGATCCTCCGGAAAAAGTGCCCTTTTCCGGAGGCTCTTATTCCTACTTCAAAGTAGGAATAAGACCCTCCGGAAAAGGGCACTTTTTCCGGAGGATCGGGGCCAGTCTAGACGCTCTTTTCCGGCTTTTTTAAAAGCCGGAAAAAAGCGGCGGACATTTTTATTTAAATGCCGCGGGGGATATTTAAATCCCCCGCGGATTTCCCTACGACGACTCATGAAATTTACATGCCCCTTCCGGAAAAGGGGCCAGTGTAGACGTAGCCACTGACTTCAGAGTTTGGTGGTAGCACTTCTTGTTTCTACAGTCGAGAGGACTTTGGTTACCCTTCATCTCCCACCCTTTTTCTCCTCCTTCAAGGGAAAGTTGATTCCCCATGTAACTTAATAAGGCTTCTTGATTTGTCATGAAAGCCTTCTACACTCTTTGTTTGAGTGGAGGATTGGTGTCTTTTTTTCCATTAGAAATTAAAATTAGTTTTGTATCTTGCCATACATGGGATGCATTAGGGCAGCCGTGACCAACCCGGGTCTTGTGAGCTGCATGCGGCTCTAGCCGCTCCCTCCCCTTGTGGCTCGTAAAACAGCTCCCGTGCCCCAAAAAAGGCCCTCTCCTCCTGGCTCTCTGTGCTCACCTGGGCATGGGAGCCGTCTGGCGTGGCCATTAAAGATGGTGTTGGCTGGCGGGAGCCTGATGTGGCCAAAAGCCTCTAAACGCATTTTCTTAGAGGCAGAGTGGAGGGGAGGGGGGTTGGCCTTCCCCCCCTCTCTGCCGACTTTGCCCAGGCTCTTTGCACTGGATTCACTGATACCTTGGCTCTTTGCCCAGAATGGGTTGGCCACCCGTGCATTAGAGGTGCCTTTCAAGGTATGGGCTCATTAATGTGGATTGGCTAAGGAAAGAGGATTAAATTATTCGCTTTCTGCAGTGCTTACCACACTCCCCTGCCAACATATGGTAAGGCTATTACAAGCTGACAGATTTAAGTAATAAAATCTGGCAACTAGTGGTGTTAGCTGCATTTGAAATTAAGTGCTTCAGTGCTTCTCTAATATCACCTAGATTGGTGCCCTGGCCCTGTCTCTTCCAATGACACCAACAGAGCAGCTGGAAAAATAGAGAAAAATGCTGTGGGCCAGACCTTCAAGTGGTGTGAAATGTTGTCATCAGAGCTGTGCCAATTTACACCACTTAAACATCTGGCCAGAAACTTATTGTGTAGTATGGGTGTTGCTCAGAGGTGAACTTCTTTCACGAAGCCATGCAACTAACTCTACCCTAGGATTTCACTTGATCCTGCAACACACAAACTAAGTAAAATGAAATGTGAGAGTACAGCTTCAACGACTCCTGACTCTCCTGTTTTGTTCCTCTTAGGTTGCTTCAAAGATGATCGCATTGTGTTCTGGACTTGGATGTTTTCTACTTATTTCATGGAGAAATGGGCCCCCCGGCAGGATGATATGCTTTTCTATGTCCGCCGAAAGTTATCCTGCCTCAGTGGCGATAGTACAGAGGGAAAGAAGGTGAGTGAACAGCTACATCAGTGAACCTCAGAATTAGGAACACGAGAGTTATGAGCTTAACCAGTCAAGCACACACCTCATTTGGCACTGGAAGTATGCAATCAGGCAGCAGCAAATATAAGAGAGGAAATAAAGAGCAAATACATCACAGAAGCGTTAAATGTAAACTACAAAAAGAAAAAGGAAAGCAGTGGTTTTTTTCTGCATAGTAAAGTTTCAAAACTGCATTAAGTCAGTGTTTAGTTGTAAACTTTTGAAAGGAGAGTCATAATGTTTTGTTCAGAGTTATGAACATTTCAGAGCTATGAACAATTTCCATTCCTCAGGTGTTTGTAACTCTGTTCTGCTGGATATTGCAGTCTGGAAAATATTTTCCACTCATTTAACACACAACTTGGCTTTCTGCCATGCCTTACTTGCCTGAAGTATTGCAGGGATACTATAAACTGAGGGTGGGAATGTTAATGTGAAATTGGCTTACGATGAAATATCATAGTTAACAAGGTGGATTTCAACAATAATATCAATATGCTTCAGTGTTAGCCCAAGGAGATGAGTAAGTGTGGTTCACGTTTTTGTTGGAGCTATCTGTCTGCAAACTCAGGAAAACGGCACTGTGTTGGTCCACATCTAGAAGATTTCTTTTTGCAACTAAAAGGAGTAGAAATAATAATTTTTTAAATGAAAGTTTAAATAGTGCAGCAGGAGAGACACACACCAAAGCAGGGCTGGTTGGTGGCATCCACACGTGCCCGGATCATCTAATATTGTGCCCATTAGGCACTTGGCAATAACTTATGCACAGGCTCAGGAATTCATATGCAGTGGTGTTGAGGTGACTTATAAGCAACTAATAGAACCTCAGGCATCAAAACCTGTTTGTTTGAGAGGGGGAAAGTGGGCCAGAAGGCATCTTGAGACTTTTTTCATAATTTTTGAAGACGTGGGGTGGGTGGGAAGTGTCTTTGATCAATAGAGCTGCTAAACACAAAAGAGACCCTACGTTTGGCATCCTAGGTGAAAAACAGTTACTGATTCAAATGGTGCATAGCAGTCCTCACTGAAAGTGGGATGTGGTATTTTGCAGCCTTGTAGCTTTGTGAGGACAGCTGTGCTTTAATAAGTAACCCTTAGCTGAACCCTTGAAATTCCACAGTTGCGTTACTATCGTGCATAACACAAGATTGTGGCTTCATATAGCCTGGAAAAAATATGGGTCTTCTGACTACTCATTCTTCCCAATGAGAAAGAAGGATCACTTTTACTGCTTGTCTGCTTGAATGCACACACAACTAATTTCTGATTCCTAAAGCTTTTGAAGTTATTCATCTTTCCTATAGGGATTAGGAGATCAAATAATGCCTTGATTATATTGCATTAAACAAAGCCCCAAGTGTAAAAATGCAGTCATAAATATTTCTGATCTCTGAGGATTTTTCATAAGTAGAAGTCCTTGTTTCAGATTCAGCCTTAGTAGACAGCCTACCACAATGGTTAATGTGGGAAGTTAAGAACTTGTGTGTGCTGTAGCATACTGAGCAAAAGAGCATATTGTATGCTTCGGGATTGTGTCTGGAACAAGCTCTGAGAGTTAGGCTGTTTCCTTTTGGGACTGTTGCTGTAATTCATGGCCTTGTGGACTTACATATTTTACAAGTTATTTTCAAAATTGTCCTGTAGGTTCCTATTTAAATTGAAGGTTTATGTTGCTTGCCAGTTTCAACGGCCTTTTATGTAGGGTTGTTGAACCTGTCTTGGGACGTGAAACACTGAATTGTGGCTTCTAAGTCTTGATTTATGATAGAGCTGTTTTTCACTTTGCAGCATTGTCAACTGATTTGACTTTGCAGCTTTGTCGACTATCTTGTGACAGAGAGACAACTGTCTGCAGTCCCTGATTGCCATCCCCTCACTGGGACTGTAAAAGTGTCTGCCTATTTGGATACTTAAAGGAGAGAGAGCTCACTAGACAAAAGATTGGGCTTTCAACATCAGTAACATTTAAAATTGCATTTTAAATCTGACCACCTCCAAATTGCACACTCACCTTAGCTACATCCTAAGAGGTGGAGACATATTATGCCCATTTTACAGATGGGGAAATTGAGACCAAAGAGATTGTGAGCTGACCAGGACCACAATGAGAATAGTTTCCAAATGTGGAATTAACTTCTAATTCTGGCCCCGTGCTCAGAATACTAGATTGTGCCTGTTCTACCTGGGGTTAGGTTTATCCACAGATTGTGTGTGGCTTGAAGTGCACAGAGGATTATCAGCAAGGTAAGCTCATTCTGTAGAACTGGGTCTGTTTGCAGAATGGGATTGATGTAAAGGTAGTTAATCAGAGGATGACATTGTGAAAACTTGTCTATGGTCTATTTCCAGATCTGACTGTCTGTTTGGATTGCCAACTTGCAATCTGAGCTAAATTGTGTGAGGTAAATTGAAGTTCCATGCTATGCCTGGCCTCTACAAATAGTTCTTTCAAGCTTATGAAATACCTCAATTGATTTGAGCCTGGTGTTGTGCATGGGGCTGATCAGAGATCACAAAAAAGAATATTTCAGAAAGTTCTGGTAAAAACATCTACAATAAAAATCCTTGTTTTCTGAGCCAATAAGATCATGTTGCATGTTAATGTTCTAGTGCCATGTTGTGATTGTCCATGTTAACTAGAATCTATTGTTTCAACAAGAAACAAGTGACAGTTTCTGTTTCTACATCCAGCCACTTTTTCAGACTTTGTAATTGTCCTGATGACATGATTCCTTCTGTCTCTACTAAAACTGGAGAGGCAATAACACTAGATTTTTAAAATGGACTGTAATAGGCTAATTGACGTAATTAAGATGGGCAAAAAAGGTTGTTTTTTGGATTCAGATTAGTTTTAGGAGATATACAATTTGAAGGATGAAGCAGCGACTGGGTTCACCGGATCAGCTACTCTAGTGAGGCTTTTCCCATCTTGAGTCTGCTTCAACAGAGAGGTTGTCATTTGAAAATTCTGATTGTAGGGTTTTTGGAGCAGAGTCTTTTTGTTTTGTTTGTACAGCACTTGGCACAATGGGGCTATGCCCCAGAACTGGGGTTCCCATGTGCTGCTGCTGATGATGATGATGATTATTAATTATCTTGAGCCTCTGTTTAACAGGCTTTTGAAAACAGGCCCCTTCCATTCTTTTTTTACTGTTTTGTGTGTGTGTGTGTGTGTGTGTGTGTGTACACACTGAGTTCTTGATAGGGCTTGTGTCAGGACAGAATTTTATTTCCTTAATTCATGGTGTCAAACCTAGAACGTTGATTCTGTTAATCAGTGGAATAAATTGCCTAGGGAAGTTGTGGAATCTCTGCTATTAAAGATTTTTGAAGAGCATCATCAGCTCTAGATCACACTTAGTCCTGCCCTTAGTGCAGGAATTGGTTTAGAAGACCTCTCTATCACTTCCAGCCCTATCATTCTATGTCAGGGAAGAGAAATAGACTCTTGAGTACCAGCTTTTCTTTTTTACTTATGGCAAAAGTGCATCTTAACAAGTTTCTAAGGCTTTAGTTCTCAGAATCTCTGTAACTAAAATCTCCTCCATCATGACCAGAGAAATCAGGGCAACTTAGAACTAAACTCTTCTCAAATTTAACAGAGCCATAGTGGTTTAAGGGGGGACCAGAACCCTCAGACTCACGGTTCTTCATGCTCCATTATGTCGATCAGGGGAAAAAACACCTTTTTTCTCTTCCCACTCCCTCCAACACCAGCCAGTATAATTAGTGGAAATTTAATATGTGCTCCTCAGTTACATTAAAGCCCCCTTTTTACTGCAGGAATGATGTAAAGGGGCCTAAGTATAAATGGAATCAGACCCTTTGCATTAAAAGTGTAATGGCTTCCCTTCAGGGTACAATCTCACTGCCCTATAATAAATGTTTTTAAAGAATTACATTTTGGTACATTTATGGAAGTTTCTGATTTTTCTGTAGAAGACCGTAAGGAAATTGTGAGTTCAGGAGATGAAGTGAAATCGTAGCATGGCTTTCTTTAAAAGAAACAGGCAACTCACCCAGGCAGAGACAGAAGTGAAATTTGAAATGGAAGATTGTATTAACCTCTTTGCTGTTGAATTCTTCTTTGTCATATGGAACGTGCACCGCATCTGTGGTAGGGTTGAGAAGGAACTAATACGTTTATTAGATGTATTGCATAGGACAAGGGTACCTATGCTCTCTTGATTAACATAAATTTGAATAAATAAGTGGTGTTGAAGTTGCTGCCAGTTAGATGTAACTTAGCTGTCCGAACAGGTAGTCTTCCTAAAGACATAAAAATTATCAATATTGGTGCTCCATCTTCAGAAATAATTTAATGTAACTCCATGGATTGTAAACTCCAGAATGAGTGCTGTCTTTATACTATTCTCCCCTTAAAGTACCAAGTATTGGCTGTGGTGAGAGACAGGTTAGTTGATACTTTCAAAGCCGAAGGGATTTACACATCTAAACTTCCCTTACAATTAACAAAAGTTATATGTCTAAATCCCTAGCTCAATGGGAAAATTTCATCCACCATCTGCCAGACCATATGATTAAAAAATCTGAGACAATATGTCATCTAACAGAGATGGCAATTTCTTTGTTTTATGTTGCTGCTAATTGGCACTCTCTTTATTTAAAAAAAAAATACTTCACCTTACTAGCCACTGATGGTTTGGTTGTTTTTTTGTTTTGGTTTGGTTTTGTTGTAAAGCAAGCTATGGGGCTGTGGGCAGTAGAGCCACGTTTAAATTGTAATTTCTGGCTGGTCCAAAGAACTGGCTGGAAAATCACGATCACTGAAACAAAAAGCAAGATTCTGCATTCTCACCTGTGCAGTAACTCTCCAGCCCTTTTGCACAGTTACACAGTCACTGTGTGGCGAACCAGTTCAGACAGCTGTGCTCCCTGAATCTACTATATATTTGTGAGAGTTTCTGTCTGTCCATTCATCTCTGATTCTGGTTGAGAACTCT